TAATATTTATGTACATAAATTTTATTCTTATCGGCAATAATTGTGAAACCGATACCCAAAGATGTGAAATAATTCTTTTGTTCTGGGCAATTATCGTTTGGACTCCAAAGTGAAATGTTGTTGCTGTTCTTCATATCGGTGCTAGGACTTTCATCATTGGCTGCGGGAGGCGTAACCCAGCCGTTAAGGGTATGTCAAATATTTTTTGAAGGACGAAAATAACAAAAATTACAAATTCTGTCTACTAGGTCGAACAACCTGAGGAGGGGACAAGTTTTAATCCTCAACTAGAAATTATGGAGTTACGTAACCAACTTTTGCAACGCCATCTGGAATTAACGAATTCAATACTTAAAAGAAGGCATACGATATTTGAACAAAAATTGGAAACACTTTTGAAGGAATTCGGAATGTCCGTGTCCGAGACAACCGATATCGCCGATTTGCATGACTATGAGCCCAACTCACCTCTGTCAAATAATCAGACATCGACGGCTGAGGAGGTACCTTTCACGGATATATTGGATGATGGCGATTTGTGTGAATGTGGACCAAACCGAGCTCTGCCAGATACACAGAAGCCTGCTGCTGAGAAAGTATATTTTACGGATATAATGGATGCTGGTAAGTTGGTCTCTAAAGCACAGTCGGGCGAAGCACCGCACGCGTGCACTCTCGCGAGAGTAAGTATCGCTATTCTCTCACACACATTCAACTGAACCAATTGAAAAACCATTGACACACACACAAAGAAAAGTGCGTGAGAACAGAATTTTTTATGCTCTGCCCGTGCCTGCTCTAAAGTGCAAATAATTTTAAAAATTTGTTCGCATTCTTCAATATTTTCGGTCAAGTTTTGGTGTGTGTGTGATTAAATCTGTGCTGAAGGAGTATATAATATTTTTTATCGCATCGAAAATTTCTCTGTATAGATCCACTTTTTCCTATATCACTTAATATTATGAATATATCCTAAATTTATCCTTTCAGATGAGCCGAAGGTATGCAAATTGAATAATAATGCGGATACCAACCTAGTATGGTAAGTACTTCTAAGGTTACACCCAAGAACAAATTTTATACACAATTCGTTTCATCTCCGTCACTCTGCATTCATTTGCGTTCAGTAAAAAATTGTCGCTTGCTGAAAGCTGTGCCGATTCCAATAGCCTAAATTGTCGTGATGGGCTGTGTCGCATAAAAAACCACATCTATGGTCCCAAGTCATTCTGGGTTCCCTGTGATGGCGATTGGACAATTGTCCAGCGACGCATCAATGGGTCCGTCGATTTTCGGAGGACGTGGTTGGACTACAAGAACGGCTTTGGCGATTTGAATGGAGAATTTTGGCTCGGATTAGATAAAATTCATTCTCTAACGACTCTTTACGGAGGCGTGGAACTTCAAATTGAAATGCAGGATTTTGACAATGTCCGGAGATATGTCCATTATGGGTCGATTTCTGTTGGCAACGAAACCACAAAATATCAATTAACGGTTTTGGATTATATTGAATCAATTGCAGGGGACTCGCTCAATGTGCATAGAGACGAGCGTTTTTCAACAGTCGACCAAGACAATGATAAGAACAGTGAGGAAAATTGTGCCTCCTCATTAATGGGGGCTTGGTGGTACTATAACTGCGACTTGAAAACTTACGACATAAGCAATTTGAATGGATTCTATTACAAAGATGGTGTCGTTCCAAAAGACAAGCCTGGCAGTGGAATTATGTGGACAACATTTCGTGGAGCATTTAATTCATTGAAATTTGTTCAAATGAAAATTAGACCAAAGAAGAGATAAATAAATTCTTATTTGTCGGGGCGAAAACTAATTCCTTATATGCAAAAAAAAAAAAAAAAAAAAAACAGTAAGGAAGGTAGTAAAGTCGGACGGGGCCGACTATATGATACCCTTCACCACTATGGGTATATTAAACAGAACAATTAACATGAAATTGGATGAACTAAAATATGTGATATTTATCTAAATGTGAATCAACCGATTTTCCGAAACTCAGCATCATTCCAGGCTCAATCCAGTATGCTATACCAAATTTCGTGCAAATCGAAAGAATTATAGGGAATTTGGTGAATCTTTAACATAAAATCGGACGAAACTATATATGGAAGCTATATATCGAAGCTATATCTAAAGCGATTTTCACGAAATTTAACACACATCATTCTAGACTTAATTCAGTACGCTATGCCAAATTTCGTGCAAATCGAAGACTATATAGGGACTTTGGTGCACTATTTACCTTAAATCGGGCGAAAATATATATTTGAGCTATATCTAAATCTGAACCGCTTTTCACAAAATTTAACAGACATGTTTCCAGACTTAATTCAGTACGCTATGCCAAATTTCGTGGAAATCGAAGGATATATAGGGACTTTGTAGCACCATTTACATAAAATCGGACGAAAATATATATGGGACCTATATCTAAATCTGAAACGATTTTTACGAAACTTAACACACATCATTCTAGATTGAATTGAGTACGCTATGCCAAATTTCGTGGAAATCGAAGGATATATAGGGACCATGAGGCACTATTTGCCTAAAATCGGACGAAAATATATATGGGACCTATATCTAAATCTGAAACGATTTTTACGAAACTTAACACACATCATTCTAGATTGAATTGAGTACGCTATGCCAAATTTCGTGCAAATCGAAAGATATATAGGAACTTTGGTGCACCATTTACCTTAAATCGGATGAAAATATATATGGGAGCTATATCTAAATCTGAACCGATTTTCGTGAAATTTAACACACATGTTTCTAAACTTAATTCAGTACGCTATGCCAAATTTCGTGCCAATCGAGGGATATATAGGTACTTTTGTGCACAATTTACCTTAAATCCGACGAAACTACATAAGGGAGCCATGTCTAAATCTGTATCGATTTTTCCCAATTTCAATAGGGTTCGTCCTTGGGACAAATAGATGAGCTGTGCCAAATTTCATTCAATTCGGACAATAAATGCGACCTGTACTTGGTTTACAATTTAACACCAACAGACGGACGGACATGCATAAATCGACTCAGAAAGTGATTCTATGCACATTCTCAAAAGGAATCATGTGTCTATCTCGTTTCCTTTTGTCTGTTACAAACATATGCACAAAGCGTAAAACACTGACATATTTTCCGAATATTACTATTCATATTCAGTACATCCCTCCTAATTAATTGTCCAGATTCCCTTCACCGTGGGTTGTGTTGTGATGTTCGGCCTATTATTGCCATCGATTCGAAAAAAAAACACAACAAATTAAGTATACGGTACACTTCATCCCATAATTATAATCTGATCATGGTCGAAAGTTATAGGCGTTGTCCTTGACCATACCTGGATCCTCATGGAAAATTTCAATGCAATCAGCGCTATATTTCCGCCCTCTAGTGTGGTAATGGGTTACTAAATAATATCTGAATACGTAAGCACCTGTAAATATTTAAGTGTAACTCCCACATCCGAGTACATACGACAATATAATTGGTATCAATTTAAAGGTCAACCAATCCTCTTGGATATACTATCAACTTCTCTACGTCCTTCAGGAGTAAATATATACGCTATAGAATACAAATGTGATCATTTTTCACACAAAAGTCAGGGTAAACTTGACCCGCTAAATATTGACAGACATGCTCTTTCTTTGGCCCGATCCCCTTCTCCATGTAAAAATTCACGATGTGTTGGTCATAATTTTTGCCTCTGGAGCGACCAGAAAATCATACAAAAATAAAGTTTTTGGTCCGATCTTTACCAAAAACAATATAGGTCTCCAATGGCCAGATCTCATCCTACATGCAAAATTTCGTGAAGATTGGTCAATAACTGTGGCCTGTATCGTGTTTACAAATTATAATGGACAGACGGACGGAAGGGCGGACGGACGGACACACATGTCTAGATCGACTCAGCTAGTCGAGATATGACGATCGGTATACTTAAAGGTGGCAACATAGTTGTGTAGGGTATAAAAATCTAAGCCTTATATAGGTACTTAAAGGAGGAGATACGCACAAGACCAACGCGCTTGGAAATCTTTTTTAAGCTCGGCTTAAGGAACAACCGTTCTGTAACAAGCCAGCTAAGTAAGTACGCCTTGTACTGGTCTTTGAACAATTATTTTTAAAAAATCCTTTCATCTGTTGGTCAATATCATTCCATTCTTGTTATTTTTATATTCATATCATTTTGAAAAATTACAACTCTCAAGAAATCATCATCCCACCCCTCCCCTCCACAACAAATTAAGCTGGCCAACTATTTCCATAGTTGCTTCTTTACTTGTTTGGCTTTGGCTTACTCTTCAAATGTGAAAGATACCACTTAAAAACATCATCATTGCAAAGTAATTAGAAACAGTTTTCTAATTTTCCTACTACACACCGACCGACCGACCGACAACCCCACTCCCCGCATTTAAAAGGATAGAAGTCGGTTGGCAAAGCATCCAAGAAAATTGCTGCAAGAGTAAAAAACTCTTTCAGTAATTAAAGAACATTTTTTTTTCAAGGAGTTGTTGAGTGAGGCAAAAAATACACCCCCCTCCTTACCTGAAGCTATCAGAAAGCAGAATGGAAACAAAATTCAGACAAACAACAACAACAGCAACAAATGAAGACAAAAGTTTTTTGTTTCTGTGTGAAAAAAATAAAACAGTTGAAAGACAAAAGGATTTCACACGAGCACCACCACTACTACTACAACAACTATTGATGTCACAACTGACTGCACACACAATTAAAGTTAATTTGTAAAGGAGTTAAAACCAAACACACACACACACACATTGAACAAATATTTTTAAAAAAACCACGCCTTATATAGAAGCTTGGAAAAAAAATTAATAAAAATACATCCTCAATAATTTTTGTTCATATATTTTATTATTAATTTCCTAAAGCAATCTCCTCCTTCCACCTGAAGCTCTATTAACATCCCAAACAGGTGACATCTGTTTGTTTATTTTCCTGTTGATATCGATAATATTAGTTATTGATATGATGTAAAATCATCATGATGGCCTGACATAAAGCACAATCGATAATTAATTGTAGCATACTTTTAGGAGTTCCACAATGGGAGTATAACAAACGAGGCAAATTGATAAATCAAAACTAATAGCCTTTCCATAATAACTCATAGTTATTATTTCCAATTCCTTCTATGAGGGTCTTATGGGATTTTTGTGGATACTCCACCTCCACCTATTCCCCCCCAAATTCTCATTGTTTCCCAAAATTTGTAATGACAACAATCAAAAGGATATTTCTGAGAGTATTGTCATTTCTCTTTGTTATTTAGTTGACAGCTTGTCTTAATAACATGACAGATGAAACATGTCATACTACGAAGTTGGCATATAACTTCCGATACGAAGTTTAGGCATTTTGGGACAATATTAGAGCGGAAAACTTAGTATTTTGATGGTAGGTAGAAAAAAATGGAAACTGTTACTGGGTGGGGTTAACAGCACAGTGTTATGAAATATGAAAAAAAATATTTTCTTTGCTCATTTTTGTAATATTTTGGAGATTTGGTGCCACATTTACTAAAAATCGGACGAAAAATTTGATGGGAGCAACATCAAAATCTGAACCGATTTTCACGAGACTTACCACACGTTGTTCTTGACCTAATTCATTACCATATGTCAAATTTCGTGCAAATCGAAAGATATATAGGGACTTTGGTACACCATTTACCTTAAATCGGACGAAGATATACATGAGAGCTATATCGAAATCTGAACCGATTTTCCCGAAACTCACAGCACATCATTCTAGACTCAATTCAGTACAGTATGCCAAATTTCGTGCAAACCGAATGATATATAGGGACTATGGTGCATTTTTTACCTAAAATCGGACGAAAATATATATGGGAGTTATATCTAAATGTGGGCCGATTTTCACGAAACTTGACACACGTCATTCCAGACTCAATTCAGTACGCTGTGCCAAATTTCGTGAAAATCGATATATATATAGGGGCTTTGGTACAGCATTTACATTAATCGGACGGAAATATATATGGGAGCTATATCCAAATCTAAACCGATTTACATTAATCGGACGGAAATATATATGGGAGCTATATCCAAATCTAAACCGATTTTCTCGGAATTTAACACACATCATTTTAGATTTAATTTAGTACGCCATGCCAAATTTCGTGCAAATCGAAGAATATACACGGACTTTGGTGTACTCTTTACCTTAAATCGGACGAAAACATATTTGGGAACTATATCGAAATCTGAACCGATTTTCCTGAAACTCACAGCACATCATTCTAGGCTTAATTCAGTACGCTGTGCGAAATTTCAGGCAAATCGAAAGATATATAGGGACTTTGGTACACCTTTTACCTTAAATCGGACGAAAACATATTTGGGAGCTATATCAATATCTGAACCGATTTTCACGAAACTTGGCACACATCATTCTTGGCTTAAATTATTACGTTATGCCAAATTTCGTGCAAATTGAAAGATATATAGGGACTTTGGTGCATCATTTACCTTAAATCGGACGAAAATATATATGGGAGCTATATCTAAATCTGAACCAATTTTCACGAAATTTAGCACACATCATTCTAGGCTTAATTCAGTACGTTGTGCCAAATTTCGTGCAAATCGAAAGATATTTAGGGACTTTGGTGCATCATTTACCTTAAATCGGACGAAAATATATATGGGAGCTATATCTAAATCTGAACCGATTTCCACGAAACTTAGCACACATCATTCTAGAATTAATTT